ATTATTGTGTTCTCTTTCAAACAGTGATAAAAAATAAGGAATGTTTTATAATTAAATCCATAATAACCAATTTTTCTGCAAGCCACAAAAGCCCAAATTAAATATCAATTTAAGCACATATTTGAAACTGATCAAGCAAACAAAATAGTCTTTGTCTTGCATGACTCCTAATATTTTATGCTTCTTTTTTTGTTGATCTAATTCTCTGAAAATGTCACAAGTAAATTGGGTATCACTGAAAGACATAAGCCCTCCTAAGCATTATGAATAACAGTTATACATTTTACAGTCACAGGGACACAACCCAGGGGTGGGCTTCAAAAATTTTAGCAAGGGGTTCTCTGCCCGGTTGTGGGTGGGTGTGGCCATGGTGGGTGTGGCCTAATTGACCTTCTGCACCACAGGGGGGCATTTTTGCCCTACCCGGGCTCTGGAGGCTTTCCTCGGGCCTCCGAGAGTACAAAAACATCTTCCCCAGGTTCCAGAGGCCCTCTGAAAGCCGGAAATAGGCCCATTTTCAGCCTTCCTGAATTTTGAGTAGGGCCTCCGCGCTCGCCCTGCACTTATCTGTATCCAAAATGGACCACATGGGGACTCCTTGGAGGGGAGGAGCCAGCCAAGAGTGGGATTTGGGGGTTCTCCCAAATCTTGGCTAGAGGTTCTCTCGAACGCCTGCGAACTCCCAGCAGCCCACACCTGAAACAACCCTGCAGCCCCAAAGATTATTTTCTTCCAAAGCACTCGAGAGGGCAGGAATATTTCTGCTATTCTTTTTTGCATCTAAGATCCATGGGCTTGTTGAGGTTCAAATTGCCCAAAACTATACAGAAAGATTGTAATCAGTGGCAGTGGCAGTACTAGAGGTAGTAATAGTTATAAAAAACCCTAGTGACAGTTGTAAATTTTGGGAACCGCCACTCTCCTCTGAAATCTCACACAGAGGAAAGAGAAAATATACATTTCTATTGATGTGCATGGATTGTGAGAAAGAGGTAACCCTCTCAAGAATCATAAAGGTGCAGTATAATTAATAGTAATCTGATGGCAGTCCATAGGAAATCATCACCATTTTATCACATGTCTACAGCAGTGCATAGTGTGTGTGACTTCCAAAAGATTTCGATATGCCCTTCAACAAATCCAAAAGTTGAGTTCACACTGTGATTTTTTTTTTGTGACAGAAGGTGGAAAATGATACTTACAGAACATGATTTTATTGAAGTTTGAAGTTTAATAACATTTGTATGCCACCCAATCCCGTAGGACATCCGGGCGGCTTATTCATTATACCAGGTCTCATTTTATTAAATATGTCACAAAATTTGGAGTGCAGTTCATGAAATGTTATCCCTAAAGTCTGGCAGTTCAGCAAAGGGTAAGGATGGTGTGATACACACAGCCTCCCATTAGGAGAGTATGTGAAAATGCTCCAAATTGAAAACATTTTCAGGTTGGCATGGCCTGTCCACAGTGGTTTTGAGTTCAAGAAAAGTTTATTTTCAGAACTCTGGAAGAGTTTCAAATTCAAGCAGCCCTCAACTTATGACCGGCTGCTTACCAACTGTACAAAGTTGTGACAGACCCCTAAAAAAGGGACTTATGACTTGGATTCAAAGTTACATCACCCACCCTAGTGTTGTCACATGTCTGCATTTTGGGCACTCAGCAACTGGCCAACATTGATGGTCCTTTGCAGCATCCCAATCATGTGACTGCCATTTATGTTACTTTTGCCAGAAATCTGTATTTACTTCCAGTTTCTGGCAAAAAAAAAAAATAGTGCATAGCGAACAATGGGTTTGCTTAATGACCACAGTATTTGTTTAAAAACTGCAGTGTTTGCTTAGTGACTACAACATTTGCTTAACAATTGCAGCCTTCACTTTACAACCGCCGTGTTTAACAATCACTGCAAAAAAAAAAAAAAGGATTACAAAATCAGCCACAGTCTCCTGGTAACCTCCATAATGATTGTCATGACTGACGAGCGTATTTGTGGGCTCAATGATGGTCATTAGTCAAGGATTATCTGCAACCACTACCAGTAAGTTCAAACCAGGGGTGGGTTTCAGGCGGTTTGCGGCG